GAGGAATTGAAGCAAAAGACTAAAGTAGAAGAAAAACCAAGTGAAGCATTTGGTTTACGAGCAGATACAGGATGTTTCATATGTGGAAGTAAAGAACATTTTAAAGCCCAATGTCCAAAACGGTCCGATGTAAAACAAAGAAGTAATCGAGGAAGAAGTGGTTATCGAGGAAGAGGCGGTTTTCGAGGAAGAGGTAGAGGTTTTCAAAAGAAAGAGGAAGCTAATGCAGCAAAAGATGACATTGTACTGGTAGCAGCAAATTTTTGTAATCAAAAGGACATATTTAAAAATAATATTTTTGTGTTGGATTCCGGGGCAAGTAATCATTTCGTAAAGGAAGAATTAGAAGAATTCATGAAAGATGTTACCGAATTAGAACACGAAGTTACAGTTCATATTGCCAATGGAGATGTTTTAAAAGCTTTTAAGAAAGGAAAAATTCAAGGTATGTGTGAAGGTAGATTAATTACTATAGAAGCAATAATTGTAGCAGGAATTAAACATAATTTGCTCTCTGCTGCAAAATTGACTTCAAGAGGTTATAAAATAATAGTACAAAGCGATCATATGTCAATTTGTGGTAAAAATTTTACATTAACATGTAATAATTTAAATGGATTATATATAATGAAGATAGATATATTTGAAAAAGAACAATGCAATGTTGCAATTGATTTGTGGCATCGAAGATTGGGACATGCTTCGTCAAATGCATTAAAGGAACTAGGATTGCCAGCTCCTTTAACAAATTGTAACACCTGCGCACAAGCAAAAGCAGTAAGATTGCCTTTCAAAACAAATGAAACAAAAACCAAAGCTATTGGTGAATTAATTCACAGTGATGTTTGTGGACCAATTACACCACAAACAAAGAATGGAGAGAAATATTTTCAGGTGATATTGGATGATTTTTCTCATTTTCTAATAATTTATTTATTAAAAAATAAAAATGAGGCTGAAAATAATTTAATAAATTATATAAACGGAGTGGAAAGACAACATGGAATTAAAGTGAAGAGGATAAGACTAGATAATGGTGGAGAATTCACATCAAATAATTTTAAGAACTATTCCAATGGAAATGGAATTAAAGTTGAGTATACAATGAGTTATAGTCCTCAAATGAATGGAAAGAGTGAACGAATGAATAGAACCCTACTAAACATGATTCGAGCAAAATTAGTCGATTCAGGTTTACCAAAATTCCTGTGGGATGAAGCACTAAAAGCATCAGTTTACGAATTAAACCGAACACCAACTACAGCTCTAGAAAAAGGGAAAACACCATCTACAGTTTGGCATGGAAGAAACGATTTAACAAAAATTAAGATTTTTGGATGTCAAGCATGGGTGACAGTGTTACCTAAAGGTGATAAATTAAATCCAAGAGCTAAAGAAGCAATAATGGTAGGATATTGTGGTGGTGGTTACCGGGTGTGGTTGCCGAAAGAAGAGAAAGTAGTAAAATCTAGAGATGTACGATTTGTTGAAGAAATTATGCCATGTAAACATAAAGTAAATGGAAAGATGGAAGAAATTTTGCCCAGAGACGTGTTGATACCAGTTGAAAATAATTGTGAAGAAGAAAAATCAGAGGAAGAGTCAGAGGAGAATGAAGAACAAGCAGAAGGTGAAGGGACAGAAGAAATTAGAGAGAAATCATCCACATTTGGAAGAACAATTAAGAAACCGAAAAATTTACAAGATTTTGAACTGTATACAGCATATTGTCTATTGACACAAGTTGAAGAACCAAAAAGCTTTGATGAAGCAATGAATTGTAAAGAATGGAGAAAAGCTATAAATAGAGAACTTGAATCACATCAAAAGTTATTAACTTGGACAGAAACAGAATTGAAAAAAGGAGAAAAAGCAATAGAAACAAGATGGATTTTTGTAAACAAAAGTGATGGAACAAAGAAAGCAAGGTTAGTTGCAAGAGGGTTTCAAGAAAAATTAATAAAAGGTTTAGAGTTCAATTATGCACCTGTCTGTAGAATGTCAACAGTAAGATTATTTCTATCTATATCAAAACATAATGATTGGACTTTACGACAGATAGATGTTCCAACGGCGTTTTTAAACAGCAGTTTAGAAAAAGAAGTGTATATATACTTACCAGAGGGCGTAAATTCAAGTAAGAAAATAGGTAGATTAAATAGAGCATTGTACGGATTGAGAAGTGCACCGAAAGTGTGGAATCACAAATTTACAGAGATTATGACAAAATTGGGATTCTATCGATCTAATCATGATTTTTGTCTATATTGTAAGAAAGGAGTATACCTGGTATTATTTGTTGATGACGGACTCATTACTGGGGAAGAAGAAGAAATAGAAAAATTAATAGTAAGTTTACAAATGGAATTAAATGTTAAAGTATTTAAGGATAAAATATCGTTCTTGGGAATGGACATTAAAGAGACGGAAAGTGGACTTAAAGTAAATCAATCAAAGGCAATAAACCGATTGTTGAAAGAATTTAATATGGAAAATTCTAGAACAATTTCTACACCAATGGAACAGAACTTTACTTACGAAGATGATTTAGTAGATGAACATGTTCCATATCGTCGTTTAATATGTAGCATAATGTATATTGCGGTAACAACAAGACCTGATTTATCTTATGCAGCTTCATATTTAAGTCGTTATCTAGATAAACCGACAGGTAAGCTTTGGCAAGCTGGAAAAAGGGTATTACGTTACCTAAGCAATACAAAAGATTTTGGAATAGAGTTTAAAAAGGGAACTAATCAAATAGAAGCTTATAGCGATGCAGATTGGGCTGGAGACAAGAAAACAAGAAGAAGTGTAAGTGGATTTATGTGTTATCATTCAGGTAATCCAATAGCCTGGCATTCTAAGAAGCAAAATTGTGTTGCCTTGTCCTCAATGGAGGCCGAATATATAGCGGCAAGTGCAGCAGCACAAGAACTTATAAACTTAAAGGGAATTCTATCAGAATTTGTGGGAAAGGACACTATAGATTATAGATATTGTACCGGTTGTACTCAATGTTGATAATCTTAGTGCAATATCAATGATGAACACTTTTGAAAATTCTAAGCGAGGTAAACATATAGATATACGATTTCATTTTATAAAGGATTTGTGTGAGAAAAAAGAAATAATTGTAAAATACGTTAGTAGCGATAAAAATGTATCTGATTTATTAACAAAACCGTTAGGTAAACAAAAGTTCATTACTTTAAGAAAAGCTATTTTGAAAAATGAATGTCAACTTAATAATTGTGTTGTAAATGATTATTAGTTGAGGCGGCGTGTTAGATATAAAATGTAATGTAACTAATTCTAGGGACTTTTAAAGTATTGTTGTTAGGTTGGTATCTATGAATAAGTAAAAAAAGTAAGCCGTAAGCGAGAAAAACCGAGCGTGCTGTAAAATTACAATAACAAGTTTTAATTAAACTACGTTCTTAATAAAAAGCAGAGTTTCAATTATAACCCATAATAGCATCTTGATATGATGGTTGCACAGAAGGCTGAAGAATTGGAGATTCTTCTGTTTTGTTTACCTAGCAATACCCATGAATTGCAGCCGCTGGATCGAGCAGTGTTTAGGTCCTTTGAACATTTCTGGGACGAGGAGTTGATGACGTATTGGGATCAAACACCAGATCGTAAGCTGACTAAAGACAGATTTTCACATATATTTACACCGGTATGGGAAAAGTGTATGTCCGTAGCCAACATTACCAGTGGCTTTAGAGTTACTGGCATATACCCTTTCAACCCTCGAGCTATTCCAGACGTGGCGTATGCACCACGTGGCGTCTTCGGTATGTAGGCCTGTTGAAAATCAAACTTCATCGACTTCTTTGTTAACTAGTCCTGCTGTCGGCAACCAGGAGTCCAGTTCTGACGATGACGCGAACATACCCTTGGCTGTACTTCGTACACGTTTGATGGGCAACATAACTCGAAAGAGAGCCGAAGATCTGCCTGGACCTTCAAAATCAAATGAAAAAAATGCGTTCAGTAATATACTGAAAACGCCTGAATTACCAGAAAAAAAGTGTACTAGGCCGAGAAAAAAGGCCTTAAACTATAGGGCTCAAGCAGTTGCAAAAGTCTTGTTTAAATCAAAAAAACTGTAGTAATGTTAATCATGGGCTTTATTTTCAGCCGAGCCGGAGAATAACGACCACACATGTTGAATACATAATATTTTTTTACAGGGTTGCTATGTATACAACCGACGTTATTTTAGTTACATTTTGTACTTTATAAATAGTTTGATAAGCGAATATATTTTATTCCGAGTTTCATTCGGAAAAAATTTAAAAAAATTCTTAGGTGTCCCTTATTACCCTCTTGTACCTTACAATTTGTTTTTGAATTTGTACCATTTAAGTTTTTTCACCCTACGCAACGAACAATTTCAACAAAAGAAGCTACCAACAAAACAATCACAAAAACAACAATTTGCACGTACACATGCGTTCTACAAAGAAGCACTTTGTTTCATAGCAAGAAAGAGATAAAAATGCTCTTTTACTATTATTCTTGAGAAAACGCTTGGGTACCTATCCATAGCACAACCATAAACGGGTAATTCGTATATGCACAGTGCGAATGCAAAACTATTAAGATATCTCAGCAACATATTGTAAAAATAATAGCAAAATTTATCTGCATTGCTGATCTGATGATATCTACACGCTAACGTAAAAGGAACTTTTAATGTTTGATTAATCCAGTAAACGAAGTTGTACTAAATGATCTATTAAATATTATACAAAACATGTACTGTCAGCATATTGTAGTCATGCAGTTATCCATCATTGTCACTATCGGCTTCTTCAACACTGATTAGCCTTGGCGATTTTCAAAACTGCTTACTCAAACGCATCATCGTATTGATAGTTCCAGCGGCATATTGAGGACACTGTAACATAACAGATATACATGATATTAATAATTAATAAGCATATACTTGTATAACAAAATTTTAATATGCATATGCATACAATAGAGTTAAATAAGTTAAATAAATGTTAAATTTATTATTGTAATAATGTATAGGTTAGAAAAATGAAGCAATTTAAGACCATTGGATTGATTACCGATTTAATTATTTAATATGTATATTATATCATTATTTTAATATTTTATAGTTTTAGCTTTTATAGCTTTTATAGCCAAAACAGCTAATACAGTTCAAGCAAATAAAGAATTCAAATCATATTTTCCATTGGTCCATTAATTTGTCTAAAGGATTTTAACTATGAAGTTCACTTTCTCTAAATCCGAATTTTGTCCCTTACATCCCTTTGCATCTGACCGCCTCATTTCAGGAACTGTTCCTGAAGAAAAAACCGATGTTCACAATAATATAAAGACAACCAATAAAAGAAGGCAAGCTGACGCAATTAAGTGTTTAGAAACTGCAATACAATGGGCCCAAGACAATAACATCGAGTTTAGTACTATCTTAAAAAGTATTACAAGCTAAGATAACTTGACGTTTTTTAAAAATACAAAAACTTTGTTAAAAACGGATAAATAAGACTTTTAAAATTATCTTTTATTATTTTACAAAGACAATTATTTGTAAATTTGTAATAATGTAAATCAAAGAAAAGAGATTTTTTAAGGGGGAACAGCAGGGTAAAATTTTCAAAAAATACAATCTTTTTCTTGCATAATTGGAAAGTATATACCTTTTAGAATATTATTAATGTTATCCATGTTGCAAGTAAAATTATTGAATAAAATGAAACACTCGATTAGAACTTCTACCTTGCATGCATTTTAATATAAATCGGTACCGGTTTCAAAGATAAATCTTCATCATCAGCCTAAGAGTAATTAGAAAAATCGAAAACGATTATAAAATTACAGTATAGAAAACGACGAAGAACACGACATACTGTCAAAAGGCAAAGCTAGCAGAAAAAGTTTTAAATGTTGAAAATTTGAAATATTGAACATTTGAACAAAAAGTCTTGATAAACTGCCAAAAAATGAAACTGAGTTATTAAAGTTACGAAATCTTCAAAATGGAGGTCACGATAAAGCGTGGTGCGTTACAAAAAAAATTATTTAAGAATAATCTAAAACATAATAATTAAAAATTAGAATAGAAGTAATTAAAAATACAAAAAAACTTACAAGTCAAAATGATGAGATTCAAAAATAGCGTAAGGTGCTTGAGGTGACCATCATGGCGGAGCGAGAGGAGTTATAAACTGATTTGAATTATTAACAGAAAAAGAAAGTGTGAAGTGTATCTGTTTGGATTTGATATAAAATTAATAAGTTGGTGTGGGTATATAGTCCACAATATATACCCACAGTTGGCATTCGTTCTTTATGGAGTTTAGGTAGAGAATATATAGAAGGTAAATTAGGTTTTATAGTGTTGCTGAGAAAAGGGGTGAACTCGGTCAAAGTCTCCTTACAATTGTTTATAATATCTCTAGTTTTTCTAATTATTAAAGGTCAAATCCAATCAAAAGTTTTCTGCAAATAAATGTTCTTATCTAATATAACAATGCCTACCCCTTTATGGGCTTTTACAAAATAGCATTGTTTATGTTTAGTTTTTGTTTAATGAAATTTTTACATTTCCAATTTTCTTATTTTTTTTGTCAATTTTATTAATGACATTAGTTTCATTATTGTTATTTAATTGTTAGGTTCATATTACAGGCGCTTGTAGATGGCTAGTACGTGTGATATTGCTTTGGAATTAAGTAAATTGAAAAAAGACATATTAATTGACATTATTGTGTGTAGCGATATTGCCGGTATTCTCCAAGATTTTAGAGCAAATTATGAAAGCTAGGTTAACAACATTCTTTGAAAGACAACAGATTCTCAGCGATGCACAACATGGATATAGGAAGGGTCGTTCTACCATCATGGCACTGATTGAACTAGTAAATATAATAATTCAAGCACATGACAATAAGGAAAAAGTAGAGGTTATCTGCTGTGATTTGAGTGGACCGTTCGATATCGTAAATCACACCATATTATTAGAAAAGCTTTATTATTATGGGTAGTAATAATAGTAATAAGAGGTACTCCATATAAACTTTTGTCATCATATCTATCCGACAGCAGTGTGTAAAATGGCGGGGTGAAATTTATGGCGCGCAACCCTGCGAACATGGAGTTCCTCAGGGTTCGGTGCTGGAACCGATACTGTTTGCTATTTATATCAACGACTTGCCGAGCAATCTATTAGGAGCTTCCTGTTATTTATATGCTGATGACACCTCCTTAATATCAACTGGAAAAACTATGGAGGATATCAAAGAAAATTCGGCACGTTTGGTGATAATGTTACGAAGTGGATGGTAACGAACAAGCTTCACTTGAATTGCGAGAAGACAACATTGCAGTTCTTCGATCGTCATCACGCGGAAAATGTTAAATTCCTGGGTGTGAGTGTGAATAGCGATTTAAAGTGGACAAATCATGTGAGCGAGTTTTGCGAAAAGTTTAACAGTGCGGTCTTTACAGTGCGAAGAAGAGTGTGCGTCTGTGGAAGTGGCTCGGATTGCCTATTTCGCGAGTTTCCATTCTGTGACATCATACGAAATAATTGTCTGGGGCTCGTCGGCTGTGTTTCTCCTTCAGAAGCGTTGCATGCGGGCATTGGGTGGTTTGAGAAATACGGATAGCTGCAGACAATCTTTCAAAAATTAAAAATACTTACTATACCTTGTACTTATCTTTTTGCCACCTTGAAATATGTACATAATTGCGTTAGTGATTTTAAGACTAATTCCACAAACCACGATTACAACACGAGAAGTAAAGACATGTTAAAAATTCCCTACCATCGCCTTAAAGTCACGCAGCAGGCTATAAATTACTTTGGCGCTAAATTATATAATCATTTACCACCCCAAATAAGGGCTATGAATGTAAGAGAGTTCAGTAGATGTATTAAATGTATTTTGTTAAATAATTGTTACTACAGTATATAAGAATTTATGGAGTCCGACGTAAATTACTCTCTGCAATTAACTTATAGCGAATGACGTTTTCTAGAATGTTTATTGAGAAAATAAAGAATTATTATTATTATTAGTCTAGTCTATTATTAATACCCTTGGTACACTCATAACATATACATACAAACTTGATTTTTCTAGCTTAATGTGTTAAAAATTTAAGACCCAACTTTGAAAGCCTATAACTCCTTAGGGGTACAACTTAGTATAGAGGTAAGCTGCATTAAATCATCTTACTTTATTATCCTCTACAAGTCCCTGCTCTGTGTCCGTTCTTATGTGAATCACCCCATATACTGTTTTTGTTTGTCTTAGTATTTAATTGTGTGGTTTACCAGTTTTTAAATAAAATATATTTTTATTTTCATTTTTCTTTTGATTAACAAAATTAAATTATTACTATAAAAAATTACTTGATTAAATCATTGATTAAAATCATTTTTTAACCCTCCAGTAGACGGGTGAGGCCTGTGAGTCCACCCAATACTTATATGTTGCTGTAATTTTTGTAAGAAAAATTTTGGCACCGTGGGCTTCCGTGTACCTTTCACAAACAGTAAAACCCGAATTTTTATAAAAATTTCTAATAAAGTATGTGACAATTTTTTTGAAAAAAAAAATAAAAATGTCCTAATAGGCCTCACCCGTTCACTCATGTAACATCTTATAAAAAAACAAATACGTGTTTTCATGACTCTTTTGATAGAATTAAAAAAAATATAGAAGTAAATTTTAAATTTTCTGTTTTGTCAATAAGTTCCAAATTGCTAAATTTAAATTCGGGGTATTCCCTTCTTACAATGACTTCGCTAGTGTATAACGGTCCGTGATTCCCCTAACATCACCACTTGGCTTCTGTACACAAACGTGGTTCAGTCGTTCATTACTTTTGTTAGTGAATTGTTTTCCAGAGAGTGACGTAAAAACAAGTTATTATAAGTGTTTGTTAAATTCTTTTGGATTATCGAAGGTAAATAATTCTATAGTTATATATAAATATCAAGCATATTTACGTATTTTCTTTTTTCTCTCCCTTATAGGTTTATTTTATTTCAATATGTGTTCATATGAACGAGAGGTAAAAAGGTTAGAACGCCTTGCCGATGAAGTAAATAGTAATGAACTTTCAGAGTTGACTGAAAGTGGTAATGAATCTTTGGCCGACGAAGACCATAGCCTTCTAAGTGACCATGATCAGATACTGAGCAAGAGTCGTTTTCAGATGTAGAAGAACAAACCAATCTTTTGCGAAGAAGCAGATCTAAGTACTTTTATGGAAAGGATGGGACAAAATGGAGTAAGGAAGCTGCACCGTTGTATGTTCGAACGCGGCAAAGGAACATTGTAACACGTCTTCCAGGTGTGTTGGGACTGGCAAAGAATGGAAAGACGCCAATGCAATGTTGGATGTATTTTTTCGAAGAAATCGTGAATGTCATTGTAATAAACACTAATCTATATATCACAAAAATTTCAAATAGATATCAAGATCAGTACGACTACAAGGAAACAAATACCACTGAAATAATGGCATTACTAGGTCTGCTGTATCTAGCAGGTTCGCAGCATGGAGGACGAAAACACATTGCTGAATTTTATAGCGACGATGGCCTAGGATGCGAAATATTTCCTGCTGCAATGGCTCAAAGAAGGGTTAAATTTTTGTTGAGATGCCTACGGTTTGATGACACAAACACCAGAGAGGTCAGAAAATCCCAAGACAATCTTGCTGCCGTAAGGGAAATGATGATAAAGTTCAATGAACAGTGCAAAGTACACTATTCTGTTGGGGAGTACGTTACCCTTGATGAAATGCTACTTGCATTTCGTGGGAGATGCAGATTTACAATGTATATCCCAAATAAGCCAAATAAATACGGCTTAAAAGTGTTCTCAATGGTCGATTCTAGGACATTCTACACATCCCATTTACAAATCTATGCAGGGACTCAACCCAAAGGCCCATTTAAAATCGATAATTCAATAGCTGCTGTCACAGAGAGGATGTGTATGCACCTATCAGGATCTGGACGAAATGTAACCATGGATCGTTGGTTTACTGGATATAAAATAGCTAGTTTGCTAATACGAGAGCATCGCCTCACTGTAGTGGCAACTATTCGGGCCAACAGAAGGGAATTACCTTTAGAAATAACACAGGTAAAGAACAGGAAAGTGAATTCGTCGCTATTTGCTTTTAGTAAAGACATGATGGCTGTTTCATACGTTCAAAAAAATCAAAAAATTTTTTATTGATTTCGTCAATGCATAATGACACTGCTATTGATCAAAGTACTGGTGAAAAAGCTAAACCAGAAGTGGTCAGTTTTTATAATATGACCAAAGGTGGTGTAGATGTTGTCGACCGAATGATAACAGCATACAATCCAGTCAGAAACACACGACGTTGGCCTATGGTCATATTTTATGGATTGATGAACGTCGCTGCGATTAACGCTTTTATAATTTATAAAGCAAACAACCCTGATGGTGAGTTTAGTAAAAGTCGAAGAATGTTTTTAAAAAATCTAGGAACTTCTTTACTAAAAGAAAACATGCGACAAAGGGCTGTAAATGCACGCCTGCCAAGAAAAGTTCGTGAAACAGCTGGTCGTTTATCAGGACTCTCTGCTTCAGAAGACCAGCAGGATCCCCCTCCCAATAAACGGGGCTACTGTAAATATTGTAAACGAAGGAAGACTCGATACTTTTGCAAATTTTGCAGGTGTTGGTTGTGCATGGATCATATTACAGCTTGTTGCCGCGAATGCACAGAGAAAAATTAATCTAAATTATCACCTTTTTTCCCGTCCATTGTTTTGTGTTGAGGCTATTTTAAACATTTTGATATAGTTTTTTTTTATAAATTAGTTTGTTAACTGTATACTTATAACTTCTTTTTATACTTGTTATTGTTTAAAACTCAGTAAATAATGTTTAAAATAAAAGTGTTCAAAATGATATGTGTTGTTAAATTTAACAAAATTCCTAACCTTAATATTTACATTTTTTAATTTTATTGACTCATGGTGAAATAAACTAACTATAATTTACTCTAAATTGAAAAACAGTTAAAAAATCTATTTAATTCTTTTTTTATATGTATTGCAAATATAGGCCTGACAGGCCTCACCCGTTCGCTCGTGTGATTTTCGGAACACCCGTTCACTGGAGGGTTAAATACTGATTCAAATCATACGAACCCTGTTATGCATAATATAATTTCTGTTCTACATTTTCTACAATACAAAATGATCATCTTAAGTAGAATAATTTAGGAACAAAGTTTTTCACAAAATAACTATTACCTGTTGAACTATAACATTGTCTTCAAAAATTTAAGTGTCTCCATTTATTATATTCTTTAATTATCATTAAAGAATTAATTCCTTGAATCTCTAGTGTCTATCCTTCAACATGTTTCAGTTCCACCTAAAACATAAACATAGAAAAGAATTATATACATTTAATAATACATCAAAAATATTTGAAAAATGTAATATTGTGGCTAATGAGACAACTAAATGTTTTTGTAATTTTTTTTGCATTTGATTTTTAATTAGGTATTTTAGGTTCTTACTTTATCCATACACACCTATATTCCACATCACCTTTGGAATACCGAATTGTAATAAATCTTCAATTTTCTGTTTGTTGATAGATAATTTTCAAAGTAAAGATTACAAGAAAGACTCCATTGGGACATTTTTGTAAAGTTTATTGTGAAAAAGCCGGTAACACTGTCAGAGAAGCTTCTTCCAAATGACATTATCTTTTTTCGGAAACAAAATAGCATTAACATCGCCGACACGATTAAATAACAATAGAACATCAATAAAGGGGATGCGTCACTAAAAACAAAAATTTCTGGTAACAAGTATAGTTGGGTATCTTATTCACAGATGGCACGACCGGCACGACTCAATCTATCAAGAATTTTAGATTTATGCAGGTAGAGGTTAGTTTTTACCCAAGTTCAACTTCATGGCAAATTATTATGAAAAAGTGAATACATAGAATTCAAGTACACACATTTTTCTACTCATTGAAGTATTCCGCGTTGAAAAGTTACACGCTGTATTTGTAACATAAAAAAATCCTAAAGTTTGTCATAAATAGCACTTGATGTAAAGCGACTTTTACGAGAAATTAAACCCTAAATTGAGGCGCCAACGCTTCCAGGATACTCGTAGAATGTAGGAAGAGATTACGTGTAACTAGACGTAAAATTGAATTGTTATTATCTTAAAATTTGAGTAATGGAAAATGTGCGATTTCGTGGAAATATTGGGAATTCATAAAGAAATCTGTATAAATCAGTAGAGCAAAACTTTGTCATTCGCCTCACAGATGGCGCTAATTATAAATTTTTTTTTAATGCAGCGGTTTTCGAATATTCTGCGTATATTAATTGTATCGATGTTTAAAAAACAGTATTAATCCAAAATAAAAAGCGAAACATAGTAACATAACTAAACTTTATTATCCAACAGCGGATAGAATTATTTAGTGTTATAGAAAATAGAATATAAAAACTTAAATAACATTAAACAGTGGGTGTTAATTAAATGTTTTTTTTTAATATTCGGTCAGTAAGAAAAATCAGCCAACAAGTTATTTTGATAGCATAATGCTAATGATCTTGTAGGCTATAAAAAAAGCAGCAATAGTACCTGGTCAGCTATTAAATCAAGGGTTAAATAATTGAACAATTTGATCAAGATCGAAATATGATTTTTGTCTATACCTACATAAAGAAAGAAGTGTGGATGATATATTATTAACACGAAATACACGAGAAACAATAGAAAGGTTAAAACACGAATGTAAGGCAAAAAATTTTGGAGAATTAAATAACTTTTTGAGAATGGAAATAAGAAGGAAAAGAATATTAATAAATAATTAAATTTGAATTAAAATTATTTAATAGAAATTTAGTTTATAGTAGATATTAGATTTTCGTTTCTGTTCAATGTTACAAAATATGTATAAAAACAATAATAATTTAGTTATTTTAAAAGTAGACAATATCAGAGTGAACGTTTTTGAAGTGAAAATTCATTACTAACCATAGTTGATAAATAAATAGTATAAAAGAACGCAGGTAAATAGTAAACAAAGACGTTTTAGTCGTTGTGCGTCGAACACCAAAGAAACAAGGGTATTTCACCCAAAAATATGCGTTGTAACATCGACAAGTCGTTAATTCCTTCATCAATTTTGAGAATATTATAGAATTTTAGTTTTACTCATCGAATTGGTTGGTGTTGTGTGTGTGACGTCACATTGAAGCTTTTAATTAAATTTTTCGTAAGTTTTTCACTTATCCGCATTTTTTTAACGTTATTCTTCAGTCAGAAGTTATTCGATCAGTAAAAACTCATTTTAAGGAGGGTTTACAAAGATTTTAATTCAAGTACAAGCGTTCTTAATTTTAGTTCGTTTCTGACTACTTACAATTAGTAGGGTCTACTAATTAGGATGTTTTAACTTCAGGTCATTTTCTAATGGTAACTTTTACGAAGAATGGTTGAAGATTTCTGGAAAAATTCGCAGAAATTTTAAACATATGCACATATATAACTTGTTCCGTATTTATTTTTTTATTTTTGTTACTTTCTGCAAGAGACTAGTTTTTTTATTTAGGGTAATTTTGTATTAATTTTGTTTGTTACAGTAACGGAATCTGGAACAATCCTTACGTCCTTTATCCTCCTAGCTATAGCTGTCACCCATCTACTTATACATATTTATTAATTAGTATAATTTTTCGTGTTGATTCAAATTTTAAAGTTTAATTATTTTGTTTTCTCTTTTAGTTTAAATAACTAAAAATACTATTAACTTAAAAATGTTGTAAATTGCGATAATACTTTATTCAGATAATAATTTTTGGTTCTGAAAAGAACCGGTCGTTGTTTGGTAGGGATGTTTATATTGCCATTTATTTGGAACTTGTGTACTTGGTAACAGCCTTGGTGCCTTCGCTTACAGCGTGCTTTGCCAATTCTCCAGGTAACAGAAGTCTGACGGCAGTCTGGATTTCTCGACTGGTGATCGTTGACCTTTTGTTGTAATGAGCCAAACGAGACGCCTCCGCGGCAATTCGCTCGAAAATATCATTCACAAAGCTGTTCATGATGCTCATAGCTTTACTCGAAATGCCAGTGTCTGGATGAACTTGCTTCAATACCTTGTAAATGTAAATAGCGTAGCTTTCCTTCCTCTTGCGCTTCTTCTTTTTGTCGGTTTTCGAAATGTTTTTCTGCGCTTTACCCGCCTTTTTAGCTGCTTTTCCACTAGTTTTCGGTGGCATTGTTGATTAGTTTATAAAAATACTTATCGATGACAAGATTTTGATATCGTAAACAATACTCGCGTGGCGTTAACAAACAATTCACGCTGCAATGTTAAAAAAAAAAGGCCGCGTTGCCGTTTAAAAAGTAGTAGCGTCGTATCAGTAGGCCACGCCTCCCGTTGCTACCGCTTGGTTGACGGCCGCTATTGGTCGGGGAGTCGGATCAGATGCGTATAAATATTTCAAGAACCTTAAATTTCGTCATGTATTGAAACGTTATCATTACGACGATACCGTTTACATTGAAGCATTTTTTTTGAAGTTTTCGACACGCTAACAAGTCAATTAAGCCATGTCGGGCCGAGGAAAAGGTGGAAAAGTTAAAGGGAAAGCAAAGTCCAGATCCAGTCGCGCAGGATTACAATTTCCTGTTGGTCGTATTCATCGATTGTTGAGGAAGGGCAATTACGCGGAACGTGTAGGAGCTGGAGCTCCCGTATATTTAGCGGCCGTAATGGAGTATTTGGCAGCCGAAGTTCTCGAGTTGGCCGGTAACGCTGCGAGAGACAACAAAAAGACTCGTATCATCCCCAGACATTTACAACTGGCTATACGTAACGACGAAGAGTTGAATAAGTTACTATCGGGAGTGACGATTGCTCAAGGAGGTGTACTTCCGAACATTCAAGCTGTTTTGTTACCTAAGAAGACCGAGAAAAAAGCTTAATTTAATTACAACTTGGCCACACCATCATATTAACAAAACGGCCCTTCTCAGGGCCACAAAAAATATAGTCGAATAACGAACTATCGATGTCTCTGCGGTTGTGTAAATGTATCAAGTTTTTGAATGTACATACATATGTATCAGTGACATGGTTAATAATCATGTCACTAATACATATACAATCGAATGTACAATGTACCATGCACATGTACAATCGAAAAGTGGAAGAGATACTCGATCCCTTCAAAGTAATGCGCGAAGATAAGCTAAATAATGCGTAGGTGAAGGTGCGAACGCGGCGTTGCACCGAAATACAACGAATATTACTTAATTAATTATTTAGCGCGGGTTAAACATGACGTTTCAAAAGTACTGTTGAAACACTAGAAAATCATTTAATTGCAGTAAATTTTTTTATTGAATTTTTCAAGTCGTGTCGCTTAAAAATCAATGAAAAGTGATAAACTTACCGAAAAATAACTTGGTTTTTAAAGTTTCAATGTAACGCATCAACGTTAACTATGTAGTTTCACAGCACCACGGTTAACGCTGGTCCTATTAATTGTTTTTCCACATCCACGCACACAACACCAATAAGGCCAATAAGTAAAAATGAAACTTGTTCATACTATAACGTATATGGGTGAAATACCCTTGCTCCTTTGATTGTCGACGTATGACTAAAACGTCTTTATTTGCCATCTACCTGCCTGCTCCTTTGGATCTGAATGGATTTCAACGGACCCTCGAACCCGACATTTTCAAGTAGATGGGGTCAACAACGACACTTTAGTCGTTGTGCGTCGAAAACCTAAGAAAGAAAGGTTTTTCACCCGAACATATGCGTTGTAACAAAAACAAATTATTAATTCTTTCATACATTTTATCGGATTAATGTTATAGGATTGATATTACCGGTGGTGCTGCGAAAATGCATTATTAACATGGTTGATGACGTCACATCGAAACTTTAAAGTGATTTTTCGGTAAGTTTTATACTTTTCCATATTTTTTTTAATTTGTAACGGCTTATTTGAGTGATTTCCCATCGACGAATCTTAAATTACACAAGTTTGAACCGTTCCTGTACGCGTACACGACTAATTCACGACTTTCTTCGAACGGAATCATGTCGATAATAGTCGCTGCAAGCACAACTTACCATTTCAAATGAAATCCATTTACTTATTTTTTTAGTAATAATGAACTAAAAAAACTACGACTACTTCGTAATAGTACAAAAATGAAATAAAAATATGCATATTTTTAAATATTTATTGATTAACTTGTCTATAAAACTGATCATAAAACATACATATAAAATAAAAGTTCTTAAAAATTTGTTGATGTAAAAACACCTGAAACATGTAAAAGAATAAAAAATAATCCAAATCCAAACATACGCTTTGATAGTGAATATAAATAACCATGAGAGATACTAACAGTTATGCGCAAGCGCTAAGCGACCGACGTGACGAACCGTTCTTGGTTGAGACCACAACAACATAAATATTGATTTGTTAGAACGCTTGACAAAACGTCACGGATCAGTACACGGTTTAATCGGACTAATATGTATACAGTGTGTTAATTAATTGTCGTATTTGTACTGTGATATTGGTTGCATACTTGCAATGATGACGTCGTGTACGATAATTAATTAACACACTGTACATATGTAATTGTCAGGATTATATGCGAAAATATTCCTTAACTTTCATAAATATAGTGGTTCTGAAAAGAACCGGGTGGTCGTGTTTGTATACAGAACAGTCGTCGTCAAAACTAAAATAGGTACATAAATTAAATTTCTTAACCCCCAAAGCCGTAGAGAGTACGACCTTGCCGCTTAAGGGCGTAAACGACGTCCATAGCAGTAACGGTTTTTCTTTTTGCGTGTTCAGTGTATGTGACAGCGTCGCGAATGACGTTCTCAAGGAAAACCTTTAAAACCCCTCGAGTTTCTTCGTAAATTAATCCTGAAATACGCTTTACACCGCCGCGACGGGCAAGACGTCTGATGGCTGGTTTGGTGATGCCCTGGATGTTGTCACGGAGTACTTTGCGATGACGTTTGGCGCCTCCTTTCCCAAGACCTTTTCCTCCCTTTCCACGGCCAGTCATGTTTCTTAGACAATTTCGCTTTTCTTGCTATGTATGTATAACGACGAACTAACAGCAGCGACAGTGTACTACCGTTTTTGGGACTTTTCGCTCGCTTATATAGTAGCGCAATGGACACGCCTACCGATTCTACGGCTCGACCAATCCGATGCAAGTCACGTACACGGGTTTAAAATAGCCTTCAACCGAGCAATTTCTCAGTTTACTTTGACAAATTGTACCGTTCGGTTAATTATCTCTGTTTATCGTCGTATCTCGTTAATAATATAGTAAAATGGCTCGTACGAAACAAACTGCTCGGAAATCTACCGGAGGTAAAGCGCCACGTAAACAACTCGCGACTAAAGCGGCAAGGAAAAGCGCCCCTGCTACTGGTGGTGTCAAGAAACCGCATCGTTACAGACCTGGAACCGTAGCTCTTCGAGAAATTCGTCGTTACCAGAAAAGTACTGAACTTCTAATTAGGAAGTTGCCCTTCCAACGTTTGGTTAGAGAAATTGCCCAAGATTTCAAGACCGACTTGCGATTTCAAAGCAGCGCCGTTATGGCTTTGCAAGAGGCGAGCGAAGCTTACTTGGTCGGACTTTTCGAAGATACGAACTTGTGTGCAATTCATGCAAAACGAGTAACCATCATGCCGAAAGACATTCAGCTTGCTAGGCGCATTCGCGGCGAAAGAGCCTAATTTGAATCAACAATCAACCAAACCTTCCCAACTAGACCGGTTCTTTTCAGAAGCAATCACTTGTTTTATGAAAAAGCATTTTCGTTTTGCTACTCTTAAATCGGTAAATTTTATGAAAGCAAGAATGCTCTTTCAGTATGAACTTTGGATGTAGCGTGTACAATTTTCGATGTGATTCAATCAAGAAAAATTAATTTCTTTTTTAATTTATATGAAATACAGTCAATTATTTCATTTTAAATTATAGTAAATTTAAAAAAAATGTAATATGATATGATGTTTAAGTAATTTAAACTTAATTTGCTTCCATATGCATTTAAATATTGATGATCACAACGAAGGTTGTAATGCTAGATACATTGCAACAATAAAGTCTCCGTACAAATTAAATTTTAAAACTTGTACAAAAATATTAAAGGTAATGAAAAACTTGTTAGGATTGATAAAGAAATGTAAGGAATTCGAACTGTAACATTTATTTCCAAATTGGACGTTTTTAGGATTTATAATAATAAACTGTTTATTGAGCCAGAAATAATGATAACAAAAACAAGATACAAAATTATTTGACAAGAAACAAACAAAAAAAAATAAATAAATATAATTAACAAGGCAAAATAAAATAATCCTTACAACTAAAATAAATAAAAAAGTATTCAAATTACAATAGCTCAAATGGTACAAGAACAGAAAAGGTAGCAACACTACCAATGATTTTAACTTGTACCAAGACAAACAAATTCGTATACTGAATAGCATTTAAAAAAAATCAAACAAACCATCAAAAAAACAACAACAAAAAAATTCTCATCCTACTCTCATTCAAAAATCAAAAGTTAGTATCCAGACTCTTCCAAATAATATAATATAATATAAAAAAAAATATAATATATTTTTTAGTTATACTCTGATGAAGATCGAAATATTAGTATGAAATAAATTGTTTCTTTTTATAAAAAAGATCGTCTCACGAATAATTATTTAATATTATTCCAAATAATCAACCGCCTAAACTGCGCGGCTGAGCAAGCACATCTAGCCTCGACATAGGCTCGACATACGATAGTAATATCCAAAAAGGTGTTGATACAGCAATTACCTAAAATTATCTGAAATACAACATAATTTCATAAATTTTTGTTGTATTATTATTTTATTTGGATAGTATTGAGTAGCTTTAGGACGATTTATATGTTAGGTTTAAACCATCCGAATGACGGAGTCTCTTTTCTCACCATCTTGTTTCCACCCACTTCCAAAAATATCTGATGTAATCCAATTTTGATAAAACTTTTTGAAATTTGTTGAAAATTATTGGATTTATTTATTATAGTACAAATCTAAGTAAGGTTATAATAGGAAACACCAATTTGACTAGATGTAAAAACTCTTTATTATNCTCCTAAATCTGGTGAATGTGCCGGTGGATTATCGAGAACGACAACACATCGCTAGTTACCCATGCTTTAGCGTTAGAGCGCCACATCACTGGTAAACTGTTTTTGCACATATTGAAAGGTTTAAATGCCCTAGGATTTTCTCTTGGCTTTTTCGTCAGACCTTTGGTGTCTTTTTCGCTTTTGATGTTGCTTTGGATGACGTAACAAGGGGGTTGTCTCGTTTCTTTCGTCAATTCTTTTCGACTTTTTCGCCTTGATTTTTCGCCCACCCTCCCTTGCCCTCCGTTTGGATAAGAGCACCCGAAACGATTGACAGCTTTCAAGAATTTTTTTTAATAAACGGAGCCGTCTTCTACTCGTCAATTTTATAATATGCGACCATGTACTTTTTGATTGCTTGCAATGATGAACCGCCGCGCTCACCTAGATTCTTAATAGCGCCGTTAACCATTTCTGATGTCGGTGTATGAGTTGATGGTTTCGACTTCTGAATCTTCGCCTTTTTCGTTAACGGCTCCGTGGCTTTGCGCTTTAATGGTGTGTAACGACAATATGACAACGGTAGAGTGGTTGATAATGAGTAAGAGAAGAAGTATGGAGTTGAATGACGTTGCGAAAGTATTTAAGAGAGCGAAGAAAATGGGTAGGATAGTGGAATTGGGATGAGAGTTTAGAGATGATGTAGGGATGAGGAGAGCGGTTAAGGTGGTAAGGCTTAAGGGAGGTGATATAGGAGGGTAGAGTGGTCTACAGGTTTACGAAGGACGGATGGATGGGTGGTGTGTGAAGTAAGCGAGGACATCCTGCAGCATATCTTGCAGGAGTGTCCGAATGGGAGGAGAAGAGAGAGACAGAAGGTAAAAGAGAGTTGAATGAGATTGTGGATGACAGCCATAATTCCATATGAATGATTGAAACGCGGGAGGCGCTCTGTTCGATTATGTAGGGGAGTAGTGTTAGTTTTTGGTAGAGTTCCTTGATGGTGGATTCGGTAATTGGCTGGAGGAGGAAGCCGCATGCCGAAAGGTTTGTCGTCATCATACTTAATGCATGGTGACGTTGTATGAACAACCTCCTCCTCAATAAGACCGGTTCTTTGCAGAACCAATAGATTATTTTCTGAAAAACAACTTTTTATTATTATAATTGATCGTACTTTAATTTGCTCTCAACTTTTAGGAGTGTTACGATAAAAATGTAAAACTAAATATGTAATTGTTTGTTTAAATAATAGATGGCAGGGCGATGCCCTATTTTTATTTGTATCGATTTTTCCTTAAGAAAAACACGTTTAAGCATGAGTCGTAGTAGTCGTTAAGAGAGAGTCGTACGTGAGTGCAGGAAGTTAGCCCCCCATTTTTTGATTTTTAATTTTTTTATTGTTGTTCTAGATTGTTCTAGTGTTGTTCTACAGTGTTCCAAAGCGGCAAATCGAAAAAATAAAAACTCCGCGAGAAAACCGAAAAAACGGGTTTTTTGACTAGCCCCCCATTTTTGGAAAAATGAAATTTTCTTTGTTGTTCTGGGTTGTTCTANAATGGAGATCTAGATTAACTAGTACAAAGGAAAAGAGCGTCTTGAAGCAGTCAATCAACTAAAAAGTAAAACAATATCTTCTGACAAGCTAACATATTGATTTAAAGACTCTAAAGTGCAGACTTAAAGTGTGTTATCAAGCCAATGCGCAACAATTAACAATACATCAATACAATTTTGAACAACAGGTGTTATTAAATCATACATCGTGTTGCAGAACCTCGGCTTAATAAGGACAGAGAAACATAACGCTGTTACACTAAGCCGAGATGATCCAATATGTATTATCTAATATTGTATTGATATATTACTAATTGTGGCGTTACGGCTACAAAGAACCTCAGCATAAGCAACTTAAACACGCTGACTTAGAATTTAGCCGAGATCGCTTACAGGCGAGGAATGCAATACATGTCAATGAGCAACAAAAATTACTTCCGCCAGATTACAAACTGTAGAACTTTGACTGCAATCGAACTCGGTTTAAGTCATACATTCTTCTTTAACATACAGGTGGTCCATTTAACGTGAGACAATCTCGAAAACGGTTCATTTTACCCTATCTATTTTATTGTAAAATCTGAATCTGTGGATAAAAGTAAAGTAATTCAAAAAAAAAAATTTTAGTGTGTGATTTTGCCAGTACAACGGCAAAACATCTTTTGAAAAAAATTGAAACTTCTTCAGAAACAATTAACTAACGTTTATAATCTAGCAAGAACAAATAAGACTTATGAATTTTTAAACATTTTCCTACCCGAAACATTTCGATACATTGTCTTTAGTTCTTAATTCTTACAACACTATTTAAGAATGCTCAACAAAAAAAATCCAGAAGAGGTACATCGGGTGGCCTGGCTCGTCGGAAATACCTTTGCAAAGTCGTCTAGAAGGTTTCGACATTTTTCCGCCTTTGTCAATTTGATAATGGAATAACGCATAAAAAACAAGAGTTTGTGGAACTGCTTATGTCGGCATTTTCAGAATATCGCTTTCAGAGACTTAATTGGTTGAATTGTTTTAAAATGTAACAGGTAAAACTAAATTTGCATAAAAACTGCTTGGCAACAAATTCTGAATTCATTCCATCGTCTTACATTAAGGCAAAATGTTTAAACTAAGTCATTAAATCATGGAGTGTGTCAGAAAAAGTCGAAATATGTCTTCTATCTTTTACAAAGTTGTGAATGATTTCACTAACACTGGAAATGTGGAATCGAGAAAAAGAACTCTGCTAGTAACTATAACTACGGAAGAAAAGGAAATTGCGGTAATAGCTAGCGTTGAGGTAAATCCTCAAGTTAGCACTCGACGACTTGCAATTGATGCCGGAATATCGAAGACCAGCATTATAAGAATATTAAAGCGCAACAAGTATCACCCATACCACATTTCATTGCATCAACAGCTTTATGGAGGTGATTTTAAAAATCGATTAATATTTTGTCAATGGGCACAACAACGAATACAGTTGGACGTCAATTTCTTTAGTAACGTGCTATTCTCGGATGAGTCTACTTTTACAAACAAAGGACAAGTCAATAGACATAACATGCACTATGGGAGCGTTGAAAATCCGAGATGGTTGCGTGAATAGAACATCAACGACCTTGGTCGGTTAATGTTTGGTGTGGCATAATTGGTGATAAATTGATCGGTCCATACTTTATTAATGGTATGCTTAATGGGGAGAAGTACCGACATTTTTTAGATGATGTCTTACCGATGTTACTTGTAGATTTGAGCAGGGAAGAAAGACAAAATATGTGGCTGCAAAATGATGGGTGTCCAGCACATTTTTCACATATAGCACGTGAAGCTTTAGATCGGAATTATGCTGGGCGATGGATTGGAAGGGGAGGTCCAATTTCCTGACCTGCCAGATCACCTGATTTAACACCTCTTGATTTTTTTTTTGTGGGGCGTCCTTAAGGATAATGTTTATCGCGAAGTACCGACTACGCCAGAAAACATGAAAGAGCGGATAAGAAATGCATGCAGAAATAGTAGCCAAGAAAACCTTTTAAGATGTAAAGAAAGTTTTAGTAAAAGGGTTAATTAATGTATTGAAGTGGGCGAGGAAATATTTGAACATTTATTATAAATTTTATACTTCTTGTTGATTAATAGAATAGTTTAATAATTTTTTTATAAATAAAAAATATTTAAAACTCTTTGAATAAATTATTTAGATTTTGTCTACAAGAGATGTTTCGCCGTCGTACTGGCAAAACCACACGGTAATTTTTTTTTTAATTATTTTACTTTT